TTTTTATTATTATACAATAGAAAATAACCATGACTACAATTTTATTGTGCACTGGACAGGGGGATGTCTAATAAATCTAGAAGAATACAATCTGCTTCTAAAATTGTTAAATCACTGGTTGCTCCTAAAAATCGGGTAGACAATTCCAAATCTTTTATCCTCAATAGCACTTTTGAACCTCTGGTGTATTTGCTAAAATGTTAAAACAATGAATTACAATTGCTACTTGTTAAGATAACAAGTATGGTTTGTAACTTACATAGAGTCTTGTTTGGGTCTTATGCACACACAATGAAATTTCCAACCAAAGTCGATGTATAGATCGTTACCGATAATTTGATAAATCGTTCCTACTACTTGTTTTCCTTGAGGATCTCCAAGCTATAATAAAAAGCATGATATATGAATGAAAGGAATAACACAGGTTATGGTCTATGGAATGTAATGAAATATTTGATATTTACGTCTATAAATTTAGAATGTCGAAGCAACGAGGCAAAAGTGCTATTTTTCAGAGTTTCCGATACGATTTCAGTTTCATCAGGGTGTTGAGATAACTGAGGAGTTTCCAACATATTAATGGATTCGGATTTTGTGTCATTAACATCATTTCCCTTCTTTTTCTTTACTACGTTTTCACTTAAATTGCCCTCTACGCAATAATTTCGCGTGGACAATGAGCTGGATGTTGGATGTGTATAAGTGAAACACATTTGCTTAACAATTCTTTGGTAACGTTGAATCTTATTCATGTTAGTAGAGAAGAAGCGCCTTTTCTCTGAAAACTACGTAGTAGGTTATGTTCCAATGATTGTCTCCTCTTAGATGTTGACTGTTCTTAAAGTTGGAGGCAGAACGTTGTCAATTTTTCCCGGTGACTTGAGATAGAAAATGTGAGTAACATTTTATGATTAACGTTATGTTGAAATAAATGGAAATAAACGATAGAAAGATTACAAATCGTTTCGTTAATTCACATTATCGATTATTTCACGTAGTAAAATTTGTTAAAACTCACTTGTAAGACGACAAAGTAAGTGGACTTTGTGTTTTCCAAATCTTCGATTAGATTTATACGTAAAAATGAAAGATGGAACTAGTTATTTTATTTGAAACAATGAAACGTAACTCGTAGAATAACATAGAAATTTAGTTGGAAATTTTGATCGGTAACCTAACCTTGTTAACTTATCGAAACGATATCAAAGTTAGTAAGTAGCAATGGAAATTCAGCTTAGACGATTCTTATTATAAATGTAGTTTAATGTCGCGTGTTGTAGAAAACGTCGCAATAATGAGCATGCATGGTACGCTGTTCAATATTATATCGAGAAATGTGTCTACATCAACGATGTGTAATCAAATAATAAAACTGACAAGATTAAGAGTTGTGGATAACAGCGAAATTGGAAAGCAAGCAATGATGGAGGGAAAACCACCACGATGTATTCATGTTTATAATAAAACAGGAATTGGTTACATAGGTAAGGTGGTGAATGAGAAGAAGAAACATTTACATAGATACGTAAATAGATTTTCATTGTTGTTGTTGAAAAATGTAGGGGACAGAGTGCTAGTTGCCATAAAAGGTGAGAAGAAAAAGGGCATACTGGTTGGTTTGAAACAACGACAAAATCCAAAAGTTCCAAAATACGACAGCAATAATGTAGTTCTGATAGACGATAACGGAGCACCTTTGGGTACTAGGATTCACGTTCCGATTCCTCATATCCTTCGAACGATAATGCAAAAAAATACACACAGCAAAGGCGCGGATTATACAAGATTATTAGCGATCGCAACAAAGTTTGTATAATTGGTATAAATCATTGTCATAATCATTTGCTACGAATGGTTATAAATTCGATAATACGCATGTTTATGTATAATTGTATGTATATAGAGTGCAGGGAAAATAAAGTATCTAAATGGTTATATGGTGTGTATCATTGATTCTAATATGAGACGGGAAGCGATCGAGATATTGATTACATGGGAAAAAGAGTAAAAATAATTAAAATGACTAAATAAGTAGTGTAATTAGGTGTGCCGGTGATTTAAGATTGGATTATCGATGAATTGAATTTGTAATAAGTAGACTGGACGAATGTGATTGGTACGACGAGACACCATACGTTTGTACGACCAATGATATTTGAAGCAGGACATAGGGAAATTTGATTAGACGGATAAAACTATCGAAGCTAGTAAGAAAATATGTAGAAGGTGTGGTTATAAAGGCTCTGATAAGTCGAATTGCCGTTGCATCCTTGTAGAAAAATAGGAATTTTAATATGGGCAAGTAGGGCGATAGAGGAAGTAAATAAATAGAAATGAAAATTGATGGATGTGCTTGGATAGGGATATTTGGGGGGAATGGGAAGTCTCGTGGTCTGAGCGGCAGTGGTTGCCTTTTACAAATGGCGGCTTAGGGAGATGCACGCTGTGCCGTTTAATCGCGTGATATTTCAGTGAGGATTTTTCTGTATATAGTAAATATAGAACGGTTTTACGTAGGGATTGAGAATTGGAGAGTACATTGTATCATCTTTAGAGGGGAAAGAAGGAAATAATTGAGTTTGGTAGGCATAAAATCGAAGAAAATGGGAAACGTATTAGCAGCCTCTGCACCTCCTCCACCATCGCCGCCACCTCCAATCTCGGGTTTATTGCCAAATTTAGAAAAACCGGATTCCTCTGTGGAATCACATACGTCGAATGGAACTTCCGATACTTTGGAAAATCCTGGTACAATCGAGGAACTAAATAAGAAGTGCAAAGGTATCTCTGCATTAATTGGATTCGTAATCACGTTACCGGCACTATTTCATACACATTTTTTCGTTTTCCTGTTTGACTGTATAGTCTGTTTCTTATCGGCTTATCTTTGGTGATAAATGTAAGAGTAACGGGACTGTAGTGTATACAGAAAGAATGCATAATTCTGATTGAACCGGATTTAAATGTATAGTTGTGTAATATGGAATATTAATGGAATGGCAGGTGTGTTCCCTACAAACTTTGAGGGTGCAAAACTGATGTTCAACAAAGGCCTTAGTCATCACTTTCAAATTTCACATACGATCAGTATGAGTTCCTTCACGCAGTCTGGATATAGGTAAGAGGTGAAGGAAAATAGAATACGGTTAGAGTAGAAAGAGAAGAGGAAGCACGAATGGTATTATTGTTTGAACATGTTTAGATTTGGAGCAACGTACGTCGGTACCCATCAGTTGGCACCTTCGGAAGCTTATCCGGTCCTACTAGGTGACATTGATCCAAGCGGAAATCTGAACGCTACTATCCTTCATCAGTTTGGTCAAAGAATAAAAGGGAAATTAGCGACTCAAGTACAGAAAAGTAAATTTACCGCTGTTCAAATGGTAACGGATTATCTAGGCGATGCTTATACAATCTCTATGGCTTTGGGTAATCCGGATGTACTAAACGGTTCTGGTAAGGGTGCGAGGTAAAGGTCGATGATATAAAACGTTGGAAACGATCGTGATAGGAAACAAATAATTTCGCAGGTCTTCTGGTAATGCATTACCTGCAAAGTATAACACCGTCTCTGGCGTTGGGTGGAGAACTGGCTTATCAGCGAGGCCCTGCCGTGCCAGGAGGTCAACTGGCTGTACTCTCAGCCGCTGGAAGGTATACGAACGGGGACTCGACGATTAGCGGTAGTTTAGGTGCGTAAGTGAGCGATTGGTCGAATGGAACGAGTGTGCGTACGAGTGAATAGTATTAGAAGGATTATTACGAGATGATAAATGTTGGAACAGGTTCAGCCGGGTGTCTGGTTTGTTTCCATCAGAAAGCAAGCCAACAATTACAAGTTGGTGTGGAATTGGAAATAAATTGCAAACTACAGGAATCGACTGGAACTATTGCGTATCAAATTGATTTACCCAAGGCCGATTTAGTATTCAAAGGTATGGGGGGTGGGGAAGAGGGACGGGAATGAAGGAAGGAATCGAAGGAATTTGCGTATACAATACTGGTCTGGATATTTCGTCGCTTTGTTTAATTGTCGTTTTAATTCTAGGAAGCGTAGATACAAATTGGACAGTGGCTGCTGTTTTGGAAAAGAAATTGCAACCATTACCGTTTACGTTTGCGTTAAGTGGTATGATAAATCATGATAAACAACAGTTTAGGCTGGGCTGTGGTTTGATAATTGGTTAAGGGTAGAACGTAGTCTAGTACGGGTCACGTACGTAATCTAGCCAAATGACGAGAAGGAAAGCAACGGAGTATCACGACTTTTCTGTGGGTACTGTTGAAGAGAAGCTTGTAACTAATATCGACAATACCGATACCGATACCGATACCGATACCGACTCCCTTCTGTTTGTTGATTACCTCATCCGCTCACCATCGTGTTTATAAGATCGTTTTGTTTGTTTATTTTTTATTAAAGAAACACCGTACCAACAGGTCTTTCCGAATGTGTATATTCTTTTAGTATCTAAGGCGTTAATTGTTCTTTTGTGCATAATAAGTATTGGTCGATGAACGGATTAAATTGTGGAATGGTAGCGCGACAGTTGCGGCTTTTGCATAGTTTTCGATTTCCACTACGTATCGAGGAATTCTGATCGATCCTGACCCCCGTCCGCCAGCCAACCCTCCGTTCAACAGGTGTACAGGGATGAGCACGTGTTGCGTGTTGCGAGCACGCAGCGCGGAAGACGTTGGATCGATTCGCAACGAAGCGTCGTTTGTGCCGGTAATGAGAAGAAATACACCGAAAACGGATAATAAGATTCGAATCGATCGCGGGCTACAGTCGAATAAAACAGGAATAAAAAAATTCAATGAGAAAATCGTGTTGGACGTTGTTTATTTGTTTGTTCACCAGCTGTGTTCACCTCTTTCTGTGGTTGAAATGTCCGCGATATTTGATTCTTTTTGAAAGGCTGCCAATGTGCAACCGATGAAGGCGTGATTTGCGTTCCTTTAGCAGAATTCTCTCACATCTCGTTTCTTACGAACGTCGAATGTGAAAGTGACGAATTTGGTTTATCTGGTGAGATGTAACACCGTTTTCATGCTGATATAAAGTTGTCTATTATCAATTGATTGGTATAGTCGGGCTGATGCAAATACTACATATGTATATGTACGTATGTATGTATAATATATGTATACGAAGAAGAGCCGCGCGCGTGTATCATTGAACGACGTCGACCTTTGACCGACTCTCTTGAATCGGCCATCTTTATTTTCAGCTGTTAACCACGAGTTACGGGTATTTTCAGGTTGCGTAAAAAAAGAAATGACGGTACGAGAGTAGGGTAATCGTGTGCCGGCTGACCGATGCAGTAAAAGTTAAAATATGAAGGGGAAAAATGAGGTATGATAACCGAAAGAATAAGCAAGCGATCAGCGGAAAAGTCGTTAAGAGAGGTACAACATATTGGCAACGCGAACTGAACCGTAAACTGCCGTGTTGTACGGTAGAGAGTGGGCTATCGTCGTATGGTAAACATAATATAAGATGGATCGATTGTGTGTGAACGGATGAGGAATGAATGAAGACGGTTGTCCTTGAGTACCGGTTGACCGTGCAAAGTGATCGATTGATTCGGCGGCGGTGTAAGTATTTACGTAGGTATGTAAAAGAAAGGCGATATCGGCGTGTAAATGATTGGAGGTAACGACTTTTCTATGTGGTTGTTGCTCGCTTGTAACGATGTATCGAAGAATCGAAGCGCAGGTTTTCGGGTGACAAAACAAATCGGGTGAATCATTCGGGATTTGAGGATTTCACGAATTCGTCATCGTAACTTCCCTTTGTTCATGCTTATTTTTCACGCGGTTTTCACGAGTGCAGGTAATTTGTTTGACTGTTTACCGTGTGAAAACGGCTAATCCGGACGAGAGGAGAAGCACGTGAGTCATCCTGAGGGTAGATGAGAGGGCGTCGAACAGATTTTGTACACCGATAATCGCTCGGGACGTTAGCCGTTTCGTGTCACTATTATTACTCGGAATGCATCATCGTGTTTGTAGAAGCGGAAATGTTTGCGCGTTGTACCTAGGAGGTATCGCGCGATAGAAGGTGAAAAACGCATCGATGACGATGTTCTCAATTGTTCTCTGCGGCGCGACATGACATGACATGACATGACGAGTCCCGACATTAGCACGACCTGGCTAATAGTTGGGATTGACGAGGATGTAAAGCGCCGTGACAAAGGATAAGAAGATTCTATTGAAAGAGGAGAATCGGATTGCAGGCATGAATCGCGGGGATCCACATCGAAGCGATCAAGCGAACGCGGCGTCGCACGGTGTGCGCGCAGTTTTCCTCGGTGCTATTCGCGGTACCCCCACCGTGTGGAACGCGAGCGAGGCGCTCGCAAGGGGAACCGAGACTCCCCTGTGTTTAATCAACGGTTTGCGTAGGTGAGTTTTCGCGTGGCTTAACCTCTTCCTCGTCCCCCCCTTTTTATTCAAGAAAATTTCCTCATTGTCCATTTTTTTTCCTACAAACTTGGGGCTCGACTCGTCCCGATCGGTCTCGACCCGTCTCGACCCACCTCCACGCGCTCCAATCCGATTCGATCGGATAGTACTTGTTCGACTCGATTCAATTCCACTCGATCTGATTCGACCGTCCACCAAGCCAAGTCTCTCTCTCTCTCTTTCTGTAACACTCTCAGTAGAATTCTAACTCTTTCCGTCGACTTGATTCTCGACTGGTTCACTGGTTCTCCTCTATGTGCATAATACACATCAGCCTTGCTTCCGATCTTGGAGCGTCGATGAACGCGTGCACGATTCTAATCGGCAAAAGGAATTTCTAGTGGTGAATCGTAGTTTTTCGTTGGTTGGTCGGTTGGTCGGCTGGCCGGCTGGCGAATAGAAAGTGTTTGGTGCGTCGCAAGTACATAATTGTTTGGTGGTGCACGTTTGTTTTACGGGAAAAGGAAGAAACCGCGGCGTGACCGCGCACAAGTCGGTTAATTAGCCTAGCTAGAGCGAGTGCATACGTGCGAAAGGAAGGAAGAAGAGAAGATCGGAGGAGTCGGCGACGGAACGCGACGGAACGCGACGGAACGCGACGGAACGCGGCGGAACATACGGCGAACGAGAGGAGTATGACGAAGAGCAGAAGAAACGAGGATAAAATCCGGCAGGAAATGACGAAACATCGACAGGACGAATACGGTGAGCGATTTCGCGATACGTGGCGAATTTGACGTGTGGTATATATTCGAATCGCGATCGCGGGATAGAGACGGGTTCCGTTTTCAGAAAACGTCGAAGCGATCGAATCGGTTAAGAACGGGGTCCGCGAGTCACTGGAAACCGTCGGTCGATCGTGGGGGATGTATATACGTTGGATGCCAGAGTGATAATTCTACTAGGGGCCACACGATAACATGTTTTACGCGTTCGTAGTTGTCGTCGGTGCATTCGTGAATCTCTCGCCTTAGGTTCGAAACTTGACTCGACTCGACTCGACTCGGCTCGGCCGATTTCTCTTAGTCCCGCGCTACTCTTAGCCCCTCTCTCTCTCTCTCTCTCTCTCTCTCTCTATGTATTCGTCGTCGACGTCGATGCGAGGTTGAACCAGAGAACGGACGATGAAACACACGATGTAAGCTAACAGCCGCTGCGTTATGATTCAGAGAGGTCTGCTCTATCGACGAAACGTTTGTTTGCGTTATTTCTTCGGTCCGTCTAGGTCTGGTCGAGAACCCTCCCCCATTCTTGTCCGGCCGTGCCGTTTACGATTTCACCGATTGCACGTTCGCATGCGATTCTGAAGTTACAGTTGGTGCAACGAAACTGTTCTTCCTTGACGCGAGATGTAATTTTTGAGCGTAAAACTGGTGAACACACTCGGTTTCTACGCGAGTCCAGGGTCCAAGTCCAGTCCCGTTATCGGAGTTTTTCTACCATCCGACGTCGTACGGATATGTTGCGTGGTCACGGGTCAACGTACGCAACAATAGCAGCTAGATATTAGCGTTGTTTGCGTTGAAAAACGTTGGAGTTGGCCGTTCCCATGGGATGGATCGATGGTGAAAACGCGAATCCGCTCGAATTGCCCGCGTTACTCACTGTTACCGGTGTTTGCTGGCACACAGGTAGATAAACGGAAAGGGAGGAGGAGGAGGAGGAGGAGGAGGAGGAGGAGGAAGAGGAGGAGGATGCGCCGTATCATGGATGCTCGTAAAATGGCCGCTACGGTGAAACGCCGCGAATGGTTCGCCGTTAGGTGGTCACTGAAAAGAATTCCTTTCTCTCGACTCGCTCCGCCTTCCTTCCTCCCGGTGGATAAATTCGATGCAGCAGCCCTTCGAATCGCCCTTCACCAACCGTAGCTGTCCGGCATGCGCGAATCTTGAACGTTCTTTTCGAGGATACGTTAGAATGCGCGAGATCAACGGGAATAGGCGCATACGTATGTAGAATATATTGGAGTGGATCGATCGTGCGATCCAAGTTTCGCGTCCCTCCTTTTGCCGGCGCGGTCAGGCAAACTATAATAGCGCGGCGACCACCACCTGCCCCGCGTAACCGTGTTATTTACGATCCGTCCGATTGCCTATTGTTTTCTAGTTTCTCGAAACGGTCCGCGGTCGGTTAAAAATCGTAACTGGCGCACGATCGCCAGAGATTTCATCTCGGACTGTGTTCTCGTTGTTGGTTGGTTCGGAGGTAAAAAGTTTGGTGATCGCAAGGAGAATCGGTTCGTTTATTTTTCGTCGATTCGAACAGGTACATGCATGAATAGCTGTATGTATATGTACGAGCAAGTCTAACACGCAAGCGACGTGGTGCGTCAGCGGCACGTTGCACGTTGCACGTTGCACGTTGCACGTTGCACGTTCAAGGTTTCTACTCGTGTTGGTGGAGGGAAGGTAGGAAGGGAGGTGCGTATGCAAACGGTACGACGAGTTAGCTAAAGAATCGTCGCGTCGTCTGTCGGAACGGGAGAACGAGGGAATAAACTTTTGGCAGGAAAAGGGTTACCGGTGATCATGGCCTCGTCATCCACGATACGATATACGAGACTGGGCTCCGCTTCCGTGCAAGACGGAGGAACGGTGGGTGGTGTTGTATCGGCCGGTGTACCAGCCACCACGATACCGGTTATCTCGCGATACACCGGCGCTCGGTGAAGAAACATTTGCCTCTGTCCTACCAGCCGTCTTATTCCAGCTTAGTCTAGTCCAGATCTCCACGAGCGAGCGAATGGAACGCGCGGGCACATATGTACATGGGTAGAAAGTTACATAGGATCGATCGAATCTGCTAGTGTTGTCTCTCTTTTCACTTTCTTTCCCCCTGGTCGATCTGAGGATGTTGTATCTGCCGCGTGTTCTCTGCCCTGTAATGTCTGTGTCTGGTGGGGTATTTTTTGAGTGCCGGTGACGAAGCAGCGTGTTTAAGTTTGGGGTACGTTCGCGTTTCTCGTCGATGTATTCGGGAAAGTGATTTATGGGAAGGAGGATCACGGTGCGAGTAAGTTGGGAGCCACTGACGGTGTGCAACTACTCCAGATAAGGTATCGGCCGACCGCCGGTCCGCGATAACGCTTCGCAGCATGACCCAACGTAACGCGCATCGTTCTGCTTAGCCTCGTTTCCTCCTCCCTTGTCCGTCTTACGAGTCGCGTTTACTTTCCGCCGCGTCCACCGCCGCCGCCGCCGCCGTTGCCGTTGCCGTCCCTCGCCGTCCCTCGCCGTCCCTCGCACTTCCCTTCCATTCCCTTCCCTTCCCGTTCTGACCCTTTCTATTCTTTGTACCTTCTCGGGACTCTTCGTTCCACTTCGTACACACGCACGCACGCACGCACGCACGCACGTTTCACTCGAGGAACGAGGCGAGCATCGTATCGCGTCCCCTACTCCTCCACTTGACTCCTGCGAGTTATGCCCCTAAAATTCCTACTCATTCCCCTTTTTAATTGATTCCCTGTCGCATGCGAACGATCCTAGTCGTTGGGGCGAATGCCTCGAAATATGACTTAACGACAAGATTGAGAACCCACGAGTGTTCGGCCGACATTACCGGCTGCATTATCGAATTGTCCTCGAACGCGAATGTCCACTATCGACGACATTGCCTTTTAGCTGACGGGTTTAAGTATCGGTTACGCGTCGAAAACGTTTCGAAAAGATCGTACAGGGAAGTAGGGATGGCGGTAGGGGGTTGGTTACCGTGATGCAAGGGACGGCAGAGGGTACGTAGGGTGCGAGGGAGGAGAAGAGGGGGTAACCGGCGCGGCGTGACGGCTTGAGGAGCGCGAACGACAAGGAGGATCCTCGTGGCGATAGAAACGATAGAGGCGATAGAGGTGATAGAAACGCCTACGTATACCGAGTGTCGGAGACGTAGCATAACTCTCGGTGATATGGTAATCTCTCACGGACAGAGATTAGCCAAGGACGCGCAGATAAACCGCGACATTGTTAGCATTCTTTTCTCTCTCCGTTCCTCTTTTGCCATCTCCTCCTCTTCTTCTTCTTCTGCTTCTTCTTCTTCTTCTTCTTCTGCTTATCCTCCTTCTCTTCCTTTACGGGTTGCGCTTGTTTGGCGCCAAGCTGTTGGGTGATTAGGATCGATCGACTGAATGATTTTGTAAGAGGGAAAAGCATCGTTGTTGTATCGTAGAACGGCGCGACGACGGTGGAAGAGGAGGAGGAGGAGGACTTTCTCCGTGAAGAATACGGCGAGGCCACCTGCGGCCACGTTTATAGGGGTGCGCTCATTCGAGTCCTTTACAAACGCAGTTCTTTTTTTTCTGTCGCGTTTAAGGAGCAGACAGCTGAACAATCCGCACGAAGCACAGGCGGACGTGTGCGTTGGTAATCGAGACACGGAACCGCCGTCGACGTTGGACGACTAGTGATAAGAGGGAAAAAAGTCGGTTATTTTCCCATGCGAGTTAGAAAACGGGACGGGACGGAAACAGAAAGTTGGGGTCAAAGTTGGAACTAAATATATACCAAGTACCTATACATATAGTCGGTGTGTCGTTTCGTATGGTTGGCAGGTTTGCCGTTTCGTCCCGTGTAACGCATGCGGGCCGTTATCGTTGGAAACGTGGCGGCGATTGGGCCGAACGCGGTGCCACGGGGCAACCTTTGCTCGTGTCTTGGAACGTTCCTGCTCACCGCCGCGGCGTCTCTGGTTTTCCCGCGGGGAAATGTTTGCCTCGCCTCGAGTCGCGAGTCCCTCAGGAACGCGAACACCGCCCCGAAAACGCCCCCGTCGTGCGCGCGACCGGTTATCTCCGCGTGCCAGACGCGAGATCGGTTCAACGTTCCACGCGTGCGTCCCGAGTCGTCCGCCCTCGAACGTGCATAGCTCGATGCTATCTCCGATTCTCCATTTCCGCTTTTCTCTCCCGGCACCTCCTTCTCCTACTCGAGAGGATCCTAGAAGAAATGGGAGGAACCGTGCTCGATCGCGTCTCCTTGTTGTGTCGCGATACTAAAGTGCACGGCGAGCTAATGCCATCTGTGACTCACGGTTCGAACGACTCCAACTATATGTATACATAGACTCCGATTAAAGTTGTACTCGAAATACCGGGAAAAGGGAAAGAATTACGATTGCTCGGAGAATTGGAAATGAATCTCTCGGCGAGAGATTGTAAAGGATAGAGGATAGTATTGGTAAACGGGTAATCCGGTGCAAGGAAACGGAGCCGTAAAATAATAACGAGGCAAATATTTGTAGTCGTCCTTTCGAAGCGGCTAGCTGGTCGTTTGGTGAAAAAAAATTGTGCGCGCGACCACACGCACCCGTACTCCATAGCTGCGGAGAGCCCCGTTCGTCTCTCTCCCTCCCGCTGCCGATCCGCAAGGACAAGGAGGGGAAGAAGAGAGTGAGAGGGTACTCTGGTGTCCATCGGTTAATCCCGATGGGATTCCCAAAGGCCGATCTGCGCTTCGCTCGCGTGTTTCCTCGTTGTTTAGCTTACGTACAATTAGTTAGCTAGCACGTAACGAGAGAATTTTCGGACGGAGGAAAATCGGAGAAGGGAACTGAAGATCCGATTTCCCTCTTTCTTCCTCCGAGAGTGTTGCACGAGTTGGCGCGCCTTTTCTTCCTTTTCCCTTAACAAACGTAGATTTTGTTATCGCTCGGGGACAGGAGTCCGGCAACGAAACCGGATGTCCGCCCGCGCGCAGGATGTGACGTCAGAC